TTTATTTATTTATTTGAGAGAGAGAATGAGATAGAGAGCATGAGAGGGGGGAGGGTCAGAGAGAGAGGCAGACTCCCTGCTGAGCAGGGAGCCCGAAGTGGGACTCGATCCCGGGACTCCAGGATCATGACCTGAGCCGAAGGCAGTCGCTTAACCAACTGAGCCACCCAGGCGCCCGCACAATATGCATGTAATATTCTTCCATGTCTTTTTGTGGCTTGATAAATCATTTCTTTTTATCACAGAATAGTATTCCATTGCATAGATGTAATACAGTTTGTTTTTCCATTCACCTATTGAAGGACATCTTTGTTGCTTCCAATTCTTGGCAATTATGAATTAAGCTGCTATAAACGTTCATGTGTAGGTTTTTGTGTGGACATAAGTTTTCAGCTTATTTGGATAAATACATAGGAGCACAATTGCTGGATTGTATGATAAGCATATGTTTAACTTGGTAAGAAACAGCCCAACAGTCTTCCAAAGTGGCTGTGCCATTGTGCATTCCTACCAGCAGTGAGAGAGAATTCTTGTTGTTCCAGTAGCATTTCACCAGCATTTGGTGTTGTCATTGCTTTGGATTTTAGCCACTCTAATGGTGTGCAGCTTGAACTCTTTTTTCACTCTTTTCCTCCCATTTAGAATGATCTTCAGGGCCCCAAAGATTGCTTCCCTTGTGAAGCCTTTCCAAATGCTGCTCCCGACATAACCCCTGCTGGTCCCAAAGTGATCTTTTCCTCTTTGAAATCCCATTTCTGGCCCTTCCATCTTCTTTTTTGCAGTCTACATAACCAGGATATTACTTTCCACAGCAATGGCCATCCAGAGCCTCTCCACAATTTCTGAGCGTTCCTGAGGCATTACTTTCTTGTAGTTTCCCCTGCTCTGTCTGGGTCCTGGGTTGTCTCCAACTCCCTTTGAATCAACCCAGACATGAAACTCAGCTCTTTCTCTGGTATTCACAGGAAAGTTGACCTACCCTAAGGATTGTGGGAGTTTGGTAACTTAATGGGGATGAATCATAGAGTAATATTCATGACCTTCTGACTGGGTCTCTCCTCTCTCTTCTTTCTTCTTCTCACTCCCTTTCTGGAGTAAAAAAAAAAAAAAAAAAAAATCCTTCTCTCTGCCTCACGTGTAATTATTTTACATCCTTCTCTTAGGGTTTTTATGTTTGCTAACATGCATGTCACATGTGATGCACCTATTGTAAGTTGGACCATCAAGGCTTATTGGCCACGGAAACATCTCCCTAAAGTAGAGGGAGATTTTTTTCTACCAACTATTAAGAGAATACAGTTTATCTTGTTAAATTGTTTGTAGCTATTTTCACATACATACTTTTTTTTTTTTAAAGATTTTATTTATTTATTTGAGAGAGAGAGAATGAGAGACAGAGAGCATGAGAGGGAGGAGGGTCAGAGGGAGAAGCAGACTCCCTGCCGAGCAGGGAGCCCGATGCGGGACTTGATCCCGGGACTCCAGGATCATGACCTGAGCCGAAGGCAGTTGCTTAACCAACTGAGCCACCCAGGCGCCCCACATACATACTTTTTCTTACTGGATAGCAAAGTCCTCAAAGATAAGAATTAAGTCTTCATCTTTCTGATCTCCATAGTCCCTGCTTTAGAAGTGGTGGTCAATAAATGTTTATAGAATGAATGAATGAATAAAAAAAAAGAATGAGTGAATACATTATATATGATTTCAGTTTCTTTTAAAAAGAAATAAATGTATTTCTTTCAAGTGGGCATTCACAAATTATCACAGTTAACCCATTTTAGGTACAAGTGGAAACATAGACTATGGTTTGTTTGCCCAGTTATAGTATTTATTAAGAAATGACAGAAAACACTGTATCATAGATGTAACTGAAATAGCCAGCAGACAAGATCATTATGATCCCACCCTGCAAAAAAAGGGATGGAATCAGATGTTGAAAGATGAAAAAGTCTAGCCTACTCCTTAGAAAGTGAATGTTGAGTGAAGAGTCCATTCTCTCTGGTAACAACTGAGGAGTGTCACTTGACTATACTCTGGTGCCTTTGATGTTAGACAAAAATGTTAGGTAAACAGAGCTAAAAATAGATTATAAAGCAGGGAAGAATTAGATCTGTGGGTAGTTCTCAAGGATTAATTCCACAGTATATCAGTAATTTTCAACCCTGCAGAAAAATCAGAAATAGTATATCCAAAACATTTGATAGTCAGCTGGTAGGTTCACAGCATTTCTGTGTCGGCAGTGGACAGTCAGGGTATTCACTGCAGAATGAAATCAGATAAAACTCATATACTTGGTAGCCCCCATAACTAAAACACAAATGGAAGTCTAAGAACTTGTGGTGGTCCAGTGGTGGTTGAGGAGATATGCTATTCAGAGATCCTGTGTCCTGGGCAACTGGAAATCAGCAGCCTGGCTTTCAGCAGGTGGGCTCACAACAGCTGGGCTGGCAGCAGTAGCAGCAGCAGGCTGGGCGGCAGCAGGACTGTCCGCAGTAGGATGGGCGGCAGCAGGAGGCCTGGGCGTGGTGCAGCTGGCAGCAGGTTGGGGGCGTGCAGCTCACCACACAGCAGGGGGGCAGGCAGGTGTCCTCCACGCGGCAGTCAGGGCGGCACCACCTGACTCGGCAGCTCACAGCTCCGTAGCCACCCTCCTGGCCACCACCAGTGCCGCAGCTGGTCCCACCACAGCTGGGCTCGTAGCAGCTGGGCTGGCAGCAGCTGGAGCCACAGTTCCCACTGGTGGAGCAGGTGGGAAATCCACAGAAGCTAGTGGAGCAGCAGGCCATGGTCAGGAGCTGGGTTGAGAGTTGGGTTGCTTGTAGGTGTTTTGGTGGTAAAGTCTAGGTCAGGCAGGCCTTTTATATATCTGAGCCAGCTTCTATTTATAAAATTCTTAACATATCTTGTTTTTGTTTAAATTTGTTCCTCATTGGTTCTCTGATTGGCTTACATTGAAATACTTATGACCCATTATGAGCAGCAGTTTAGAAATTACTTTGTTTTATAGTTTCATTTGGACTCCTCATATTGGTCCTTTGCTCTTTGGAATACATTTGTGGTTTTCCACGTTCAAAGAGTCCTTCCATTTTAGTCCACGTCAACACCCTCATTTTGTAGAGGTGGCACGTGACACTCTGTCTATATGTCTAAGGCTAAGGCTAATTGTGCTCTTAGGTTTAACTCTTATTTTTTCTTTCTGGCTTTACAGACTGAATTCTGTTGAATTTAGGACAGTGGAACATCCCCTGAATTGAAGAGTACCTTTGGTCATACATAATTAAAAGCTTCCAACTAATTTACTCCAACATCAAATCAAATTACTATTATAGTTCCTTTGATTTCAATCAATTTGAAATATGTAAATATTACTCGTATTCTAGGTCAGAAATCTTTTCTTGTGAACCAAGTGACATAGTTTATATAAAGGTATCTTGCAGAGTGCTTAGCTTCAGGTAGAACTTTAATAAATGCTTACCAAATCTGATTTTGAATGGGTGGAGTAAAAGACATGATTCATGGACACATGTACCACTTGTAAATGATTTAATAGAACTTTCAAGCTGTAGTGCCTCTCATGGAGGAGTCCTTGTTATTGTCAAAAGAGAGTAGGAAGTGATGAAATATTTTTCTACTGCTGGAATATTTGAACCAAGTCTCAGGGAAAAGCATCTGGGAGTTATGACATTTTGAAGAATGTACTGCCATCTACTACTATATTCTTTGAAATGCATTTGATCTAGCATTGTCAATTATGTTTGATCTATCATTGCTACCAATTAAATGATAGAGGTAAGTGCTGGGAGCTTGTAAATAACTTGAAAAATATTTTTCATAAAGTGTCCTGTATTTTGTCCTATTGGATTTTATATGTTGCACTAAAATACTTAATGTGGAATTAAAAAATTAAATGGCAAAGGTATTTTTTTTTCTAGATTTATGTTAACTTCCTAAGAGAACATCTTTCAGATTGGGTTGCAAAGTGCAACATACCTAGTTTGAGATTTCTAATGCATGTGTCTGACTAGTGGTGATGGTAGAACTCACAGGGTATCTCCCTGGCTCTTTTTTCTACCCTCATTTAGATCAGAGATACATTTTATAGGAACTCAAGTAAATGGAGATGAGTGTTGGGAGTTGAAACTTAGCAATTTGGGGATGAGTGAGAAGAATATAATAGGCTAAGGCCTAGGAATTAAACCTGAATGCATTTGGAAAATAGTATCTAAAAGATAGTATCTGGTAGATGTTTTAAAATTTACTTAGTAATATAATCTTTAGTTAGGCACACATGAAGGAGAACATCTAGTATATAAACTGGAAGGAGATTAAAATGGTAGAGGTAAATCTAGGTAGAAATCCCATAGATTTGAGCAACCTGAAAATTTTAGCCAAAAGTGACTTTACTGGTTTAGACCTAATCATAATAGGTTAGAACATTTTAAGTATTTGAATAACTATGAAGATTATTTAATGCATGGAGCATTTTATTAACTGATGGATTTAAGCATAATGTAATTAGTATTTAATCTTTCTGATTTAGACTTTATGTTTATGCTTTAGGATTATTATCAAAATGCAAATCCACTCTTCTTGAATTCCAGCTAAAGATGGACAAGCTTAGAGGTAGAAGGAAGAAAATAACTCAGTTTGCTTTACACATTTAAACATTTTATTTGAAATTAAAGGGATATTTGAGGAGAAAGCAGGTCTGAAAATACGTGGGGATCAAGAGATAGGAGACAGAGATGTTACTGAATTGAAGAAATACCCTACCCTGGTGTCTTTTCAAGCAAGGCAGGATATCTAGATACTCTGATTGATACATGCTTTCAGTGTGCTAATTCAACACATCCAAGAGGGTCCTGTCTAAGACCCATTATTTCTGAGTAGCTTAGAAACATCATGATACTTAGCATGGGAGTAAAATTGAACCCTTCTTCAGAGATCAGAGCAGTTTGTTTAGTTTCCCCTTTCATTCTTAATCAGCAGCCTGGCTTTCAGCAGGTGGGCTCACAACAGCTGGGCTGGCAGCAGTAGCAGCAGCAGGCTGGGCGGCAGCAGGACTGTCCGCAGTAGGATGGGCGGCAGCAGGAGGCCTGGGCGTGGTGCAGCTGGCAGCAGGTTGGGGGCGTGCAGCTCACCACACAGCAGGGGGGCAGGCAGGTGTCCTCCACGCGGCAGTCAGGGCGGCACCACCTGACTCGGCAGCTCACAGCTCCGTAGCCACCCTCCTGGCCACCACCAGTGCCGCAGCTGGTCCCACCACAGCTGGGCTGGTAGCAGCTGGGCTGGCAACAGCTGGGCTGGTAGCAGCTGGGCTGGCAACAGCTGGGCTGGCAGCAGCTGGAGCCACAGTTCCCACTGGTGGAGCAGGTGGGAAATCCACAGAAGCTAGTGGAGCAGCAGGCCATGGTCAGGAGCTGGGTTGAGAGTTGGATTGTTAAGAGAAGTTTTTGAGTTTTGGCTGCACCTTCTACATCTGGCCTTTTATATATTTCCTAGAGGTGCATATTTCCCTGACATTCAGTATTGTTCCTTGATACCATTTGCAAAGTAAGTCTCTGATTGGCTGATCCCTGAGTTGTTTAGAAAGTTATTAATAGCATTTCAGTAGCCTGCTTTGGTCATTATTCAGTTAAGTCTCATTATATTTCTTCTTTGCCCTCTGGATCATTATAGAAGCCAATCAGCAACACCTCTTTATGCAAATCACATGACAGACTAGAGTTGGGCCAACCCTGGCTTGCTTTGTCATACCTGTCCTTTGTTAACCTGTAGGCCAAGTTTATCTAAATTGAGCATTTTTTTCCTAAGTAGTCACTAAATTAAGGATCAGGACTTCATAAATAGAATTTGTTCAGATTTGGAATGACTAACATTAGTGTCATCAAAACATGAGCTATCCAAATTAATCAACATCCAAAGCACTATGCCTTTCTAGAATCTGTTTGTGCAAGTTACAGGATACTAAGAGCTCTAACCAGTATTTTTGCCTTCAACCATCAGTGTACATATTCCCAGTTGAAACCCTTAGTGACTTTTGCTGGTAGATTGTTTTCTGACTCTACTAAATTAAAAATACATGCTAGTAATGAATACGTGTTTTAACAAGTCAAACAGTACACAGGCATATAAAGAAATTTAATATTTTTCCTCTCTTCTCCAAAACACCCATTCCCTCCACAACTAGTACTTCAGAAATAATAAATATTAACAGTTTAGTGCATATTCTTTGACACCTTTCTCCCTGCTTTTACAGACATAAACCAGCATAGATAGATAGATCATCTAAATAAAAGTTGGGGTCTAGATGTATTTTTAAAAAGTTTTATTTATAGTAAAATACACATAATGTGAAATTTACCATCTTAATCATTTAAGTGCACTGTTCCCTAGTGTGAAGTACATTCACATTGGTGTGCAATCTGGAGAGCTCTTTTTAACCTCCAAAACTGAAACTCTTTGTCCATTAAAGAACAACCTTTCCATTCTCTCCTCCCTAGGCCTTTGGTAACCACTTTTTCACTCTTTGTTTAGATGAATTTGACCAACTTAGGTGCCTCATATAAGTGAAACTATCCAGTATGTCTTTTTAATGAATGGGTTATTTCACTTAGCATACTGTCCTCAAGATTCATCCATGTTATAGAATGTATGAGAATTTCCTTCCTTTTTAAGGCTGAATAATATTCCTTTGTATGTATACACCACAATTTGTTTATCCGTTAATCCATTGATGGACACTTGGGCTGCTTCCAGCCTTTTGGCTATTGTGATTAATGCCCATACTACTCAAAGTAATTTACAGATTTTAAGTTTTTTGGGTAACTGCCATACTGTTTCCCATAGTGGCTGCTCATTTCCACCAACAGTACACAAGGGTTCCAATTTCTCCACATCCTTGCCAGCACTTTTTGGGTTTTTTGAGATTAGACATTCTAGTGGGTATGAGGTTGTATGTCATTGTGGTTTTGATTTGCATTTTTGTAATGACTGATGATATGAAACATTTTTTAATATGCTTGTTGGCTGTTTATCTTCTTTGGAGAAATGTCCATTCATGTCCTTTGCCCAATTTTTAATTGTTGTTGATTGTAGGAGTTCTTCATATATTCTAGATATTAGCTTCTTATCAGATATATGATTTGCAAATCTTTCTCCCTTTCTGTAGATTGAATTTTCATTTCGTTCATTGGTCCTTTGCAAAAGTTTTTAATTTTGATATAGTTAAATTTATGTGTTTTCTACTTTTGTTGTATATGCTTTTGGTGTCATATCCAAGAAATCACTGCCAAATCCAATGTCATGAACCTTTCCCCCTGTGTTTTCTTCTAAGAGTTTTACAGTTTTAGCTCCTAACTTTAGGTTTTTTATCCATCTTCAATTAATTTTTGTGTGTGGTGTAATGTAAGGGTCCACCTTCGTTCTTTTGCATGTGGATATCCGCTTTTCACAGCCCCATTTGTTGAAAAGACTGTGCTTCCCCATTGAATGGTTTTGACGCTCTTGTTGAAAATTATTTGACTGTACATATAAAGGTTTCTTCCTGGGCTCTTTCTTCTATTCCATTTGTCTATATGACTGCCTTTATGCCAGTACCATGCTGTTTTGAATACTGTAGTTTTGTAATATAGTTTGAAGTCAGGAAGTATGATGCCTCCAGCTTTGTACCTCTTTCTCAAGATTGATTTGGCTATTCAGAGTCTTTTGTGGTTCCATACAGATTTTTGGATGTTTCTTTTTTCTATTTCTGTGAAAAATACCATTGAAATTTTGATAGGGATTGCATTGAATCTGTAAATTGCTTTGAGTAGTATGGGCATTTTAACAGTACTGATACTCCTAATTCATGAGCATGGAATACTTTTCCATTTATTTGTGCCTTCTTTAATTTCTTTCATCAATGTCTTCTAGTTTTCAGTACACTGATCTTTCATCTCCTTGGTTAAATTTATTCCTAAGTATTTTATTCTTTTTGATGCTGTTATAAATGGAATTGTTTTCTTAATTTCTCTCTTTTTAAGATTTATCCTTATTTATTATTTTTTTAAGAGAGAGAGCAGCGGGGAGAGGCAGAGGGAGAGGGAGAGAGAAAGAATCTTAAGCAGGCTCCATGCCCAGTGCAGAGCCTGATGTGGGGCTCGATCTCACAACCCTGAAATCATGACCTAAGCTGAAATCAAGAGTCTGGCACTTAACTAACTGAGCCACCCAGCACCCCTTAATTGCTCTTTCTGATAGATTGTTGTTAGTATATAGAAATGCAGCTGATTTGTATATTGATTTTTGTATCCTACAACTCTACTGAATTTGATTAACCATTTTCTTATTCTTTTTTTTTTGTGGAGTCCTTAGGATTTTCTATATATCATATCATGTCATCTGCAAGTAGGGACAATTTTACTTTTTTCTTTCTTATTTGGATGCCGTTTACTTCTTTTTCTTGTCTAATTGCTCTACCTGGGACTTCTAGTACTATGATAAAGAGAATAGATAAAAATGGGCACCCTTCTCTTTTTCCTAATCTTAGGGGAAAAGCTTTCAGTCTTTTACCACTGAGTATGATGTTAGTGTGGGCTTTCATATTTGGCTTTTATTAGGCTGACATAGTTTCCTTTTATTCCTAGTTTGTTGAGTGTTTTGTTTTCTGTTTTTTTTTATTATTATGAAAGAGTGTTGAATTTCATCAAATTCTTTTTCTCCATCTATTGAGATAACCATGTGTTTTTCCCCTTTTATTCTGTTATGTGATATATTACATTGATTTTTTTTTCCTGTTGAATCATCCTTGCATTCTAGGATAATATCCCATTAGGTCGTGATGTGTAACCTTTTTAATGTACTGTTGAATTCTGTTTGATAGTATTTTGTTGAATATTGCATCACTATTCATCAGGGATATTGGTCTCTAGTTTTCTCTTCCGTAGTGTCTTTGGCTTTGGTATCAGGATTATGCTAGCCTCATAAAGTGAGTTTGGAAGTGTTCCCTCCTCATTAATTTGTTGGAAGAATTAGAGGATGATTGATTTTAACTTTTCTTTGAATGTTTGGTAGGATTTACCAGTGAAGCTTCTGGTACTGGGATTTTATTTGTTGGGAGGTGTTTTTTTTTTATTACTGATTTAATCTCCTTGCTAATTATAAATCTGTTCAGATTTTTTATTTCTTCCTGATTCAGTTTTGATAGGTTATGTGATTCTAGGAATTTATCTATTTTATCTAGGTTATCTAATTTTTGGCCTATCCCATATGTATTAGTCATTCTTTTAAAAACTATGCAGTATTCCAGAATATGATCATACCATACTCTGTTCACATCCCCCTATTGATAAATTCGCAATTGTTTTTAGTTTGTGCTTTTGAATTAAAAAAATCAGAGAATTTTAAGCTAAAAGGGACTTTAAAGGAGTCCAGCTTTAGGTGATTATGAGAATTAAATTAAGCTAATTAAACTAAACAGGTTTCTCAAACCATTAAGTGATTCTGTGACCTCAGAAAAGTCACTTAATTTCCCTGAACATTGTTTTATTCATCTGTAAAATGAGATGATCTCCCAGACACTCCAGGGCTAAAATTATGTAATTGCTCTACCAGGTCATTCATTCCTTAAGGGCATGATCTGCCATGTCTGATTCATTGTGGTATTCTACGTAGTGCCTTCTGCACAATCTTGAATGTAGGCACTCAGCACGTGCTTGTTAAATCAAGGAATGAATGAATGATTGACAGTGTATTATAATGATAAACAGCCAATTTTGCATTTTACCCAAGTCACTTGTCATTTTATTTTATACTTTTTTCTCAGCAGGAGCTCTTAGGTAGTGATACCTGAAAGTGTTCAGTAGTTAAAATCAAAGGAACAAGAGGACAAAACATGTTTCCATTATTGTTCTGTTGTTCAAGGGTGTCTTCTGGGTTGGAGACCGTCTCTAGAAGAAATGTTGGGGAAACTGATTCTTTGCTTACATGTTATCCTTTATCCATGCTTTATAATTTCTTGATTTTCATTAACTCTTTAATGAATAAAGCACTATAATCTTTTTTATTAAAGCACTATAATCTTAACCAAAGTACTATTTTTAATAAAAAAGAATTATCTTCGGCTCCCTCCAGTTCTTTTTTTAAAAGATTATTTATTTATTTAAAAAATTTTGGGGCACCTGGGTGGCTCAGTTGGTTAAGCGACTGCCTTCGGCTCAGGTCATGATCCTGGAGTCCTGGGATCGAGTCCCGCATTGGGCTCCCTGCTTGGCAGGGAGTCTGCTTCTCCCTGTGACCCTCCTCCCTCTCATGCTCTCTGTCTCTCATTCTCTCTGTCTCAAATAAATAAAATCTTTAAAAAAAATTTTTTTTTTAATTTTTAAAAATTTTTGATTATGTTATATTAGCCACCATACAATACATTATTAAT